CCATGACCATGACCCACCATGACCTTGACCCACCAAGACCCACCAACCCAACAATGACCTCCAGTCCCACCATGACCTTGACCCACCACGACCCACCTTGACCCACCGACCCAACAGTGTCCTCCAGTCCCACCATGACACAACCCAACGATGACCTCCAGTCCCACCAAGACCCACCATGACCCACCAACCCAACCACGCCAAGACCCACCGTGACCAACCAACCCAACAATGACCATGACCCACCATGACCCACCAACCAATGACCTCCAGCCCCTCCACAACCCAACGATGACCCTGACCCACCATGACCTTGACCCACCATGACCCACCAACCCAACCCCACCATGACCCACCAACCCAACCACGCCAACACCCACCATGACCCAACCCAACAACGACCTCCAGCCCCTCCACAACCCAACCATGACCATGACCCACCATGACCTTGACCCACCATGACCCACCAATCCAACAATGACCTCCAGCCCCACCAAGACCCACCAACCCAACGATGACCTCCAGCCCCACCATGACCCATCATGACCCCCTATGACCTTGACCCTCCAAGACCCACCAACCCAACCATGACCATGACCCACCATGACCCAACCCAACGATGACCTCCAACCCCACCAAGACCCACCAAGACCCACCAACCCAACAATGACCTCCAGCCCCACCATGACCTTGACCCACCAAGAGCCACCAACCCAACCATGACAAGACCCACCATGACCTTGACCCACCATGACCCCAAGTCCTTTCAGTCCCACCAGGACCCACCAGTCCCACCATGACCTTGACCCACCATGACCTTGACCCACCATGACCCACCTTGACCCACCAACCAAACAATGACCTCCAGTCCCACCAAGACCCACCATGACCCAACCCAACAATGACCTCCAGCCCCTCCACAACCCAACCATGACCATGACCCACCATGACCCTGACCCACCAACCCAACGATGACCTCCAGCCCCACCATGACCTTGACCCACCATGACCAACCAACCCAACGACGACCTCCAGTCCCACCATGACCCACCAAGACCCACCGACCCAGTGATGACCTCCAGTCCCACCATGACCCACCAAGACCCACCAACCCAACCACGCCAAGACCCACATGACCCAACCCAACCATGATCTCCAGTCCCATCATGACCCAACAACCCAACCATGTCAAGACCCACCAAGACCCACCAACCCAATGACGACCTCCAGCCCCACCAAGACCCACCATGACCTTGACCCTCCATGACCCACCAACCCAACCACGCCAAGATCCACCTTGACCCACCAACCCAACCACGCCAACACCCACCATGACCCAACCCAACGATGACCTCCAACCCCACCAAGACCCACCAAGACCCACCAACCCAACGATGACCTCCAGCCCCACCATGACCCACCATGACCCACTGACCCAACCACGCCAACACCCACCATGACCCAACCCAACGATGACCTCCAGCCCCACCATGACCTTGACCCACCATGACCCACCAACCCAACCATGACCTCCAGCCCCACCAGAACCCACCATGACCCACCAACCCAACCATGACCTCCAGCCCCACCATGACCTTGACCCACCATGACCCACCAACCCAACCACGCCAACACCCACCAGGGCCCACCATGACCTTGA